TGGCTGGCGCCGTGTTTGCCCAGTCTCCCCCTCTCACCGTGCACTGGTTCCCCTCCGGCAGGAGAAGACGGAGCCCTACTTCATTGGGATTTTCTGCTTCGAGGCTGGGATTAAGATCGTGGCTCTGGGGTTCGTGTTCCACAAGGGCTCGTACCTGCGCAACGGCTGGAACGTCATGGACTTCATTGTGGTCCTCAGCGGGTGAGTCTGGCGGCACGGGGACGCTGGTGGGGTCGGGCAGCCGGGCATGGGGGCTTGTCCCTGTGGGGCCATGAGCTCCAGGACACGGGGCAAGGCCTTGGATTGCTGTTGTCAGTGGTGTTTCTTCATCCCGATGAGGACGGAGAGGGTGGTTCCCCGCTTGGGAGGCTCCTACGTTAGCTTTGCTGTGGGACAAGGTTCTCCATCAGTGAGGCGCGCTGGTTCCGAGGGCACTGTGTCTAGCTTTCCTTAGCTGGTGGCCTGGCATCTGTCGCACATCTGGGCATGGGGTGAGGTGAGAACGAGGTAGCAGCATGGCCTGATAAGCAACTGAACATGGTCTAGGGGAGGTTTTGGTGAAACTCCATGTGAGGAGGGAGAAAAAATCTCTTCTCGTGTTGCCTTCCCTAGTGTTTTCCAGCCTTGGCCCGATGCTGAGGATTTGGGAATGAGGTCTGGGTGGGGCCATGCTCCCAGGTGATGCTTGCTCAGCATTCCAGAGTGGAGCAGTGATGCTGGAGGTGGTAGCACACAGAGCTTCACGGGTGCTGGGGGTGTCACTGGTGGTGTCACCTGCCAGCGACATGGCCCAGATTTGAGTCCTGCTTCCAGAGTGATGGGCTGTGCTGGTGGCATAGAAATGAGCAGAGGCATTTGGGCTTGTGTTGGCCAACAATGGCAATCGACTTGAGCAGAAGGTGGCCTCCCTGGGCCCCTCGCTGTGTGTGGGGCAGGTGGGTGCCTGCAGCCACCAAGGGGCCCTGAGGAAGGGGTGTCTGGATGCTGCCATGGATGTGGTGATGGGCAATGCTTGTCCGTGGTGGAGAGGTGCAAGTTGGGACTGTGCTTGAGTGAAGGCTTGAAGAGAACTAGCTTGAAGAGAATTTTGGCTCCCTTGGTCCCACGCAGATCTGGGGAGCGGGACCGTCCCTGTGAAGGCAGAGTGTCTCGGGGTGCTGATGCTGGGGTGATGCTCCTCAGCGGGCAGCAGACGGGCTGCCTGCAAGCGATGCAGCCATGGCACAGGATGCTGCTGGCTCTTCTGCATCCGCCAAGCAAGCCTCAGGGGAGGGCTCCGTGACCAGGAGGGCTTGCCGCTGCGAAGAGAGCGGCCGGACATGGCTCCCGGGCTGGGAAAAGGTGGTCACATCCCTGGGGACAGCATGGGACACATGTCACCTCTGGTAGCAACAAGAAGGGACGTCTCAGCCTCGCTGTGCAGCTGTGGTGCTGGGCTGAGTGCGCAGAGAGCAGCCGGGTGACTGGGAAATGCCCATCGGCTGTCTCCTGGCCCGGGCATCCTCTGGGGTCTGGGCCAAGGGGAAGCACTGGGCTGGGATGAGGGTTTGCCGCGGACCTCTCCCTGCACTCCCCGCGGCTCAGGGCGAGCTGACTGTAACCGAGCCGGTGCTGAGTCAGCGCTCGGCAATTACTCACTCGCGAACGCCTCGCCAGCTCCTTTCCGTGCCGCGCCGGGCCCGGTGCCAGGGAGCCAATTGTCCATGAAGGGCTGTTAGCTCCGTGCCAGTTGCCCTGACGAGAGGTGCCCGGGTCCCCCTGATGCTGACAGTTATGGGGTGGAGCCCTTTGGGGTCTGCTTCACCACTATCACCCCCTGGCATCCCGATATTTGCTCCAGCAGGATGCAAACCTCTCCAAGGAATGCCTGGGTACCCACCGGCTTTGCCCCAGCGGTGCCGGTGCCCACTGGCATGGGCTCACTGGGCTTTCAGGGCGAAGTCTGCTGTATGATGGGTGGAGGAAATGACCCACAGTTTTCCATCCTGGACCTGTTTTGGGGAGGATGGGGTCACTGGGGGATCAGCCGGACCTGGTGGTGGGTGCTTCTGTGCCGCTCAGCTCTTGCTTTTGCCGGGTGATGCTGACAAAGCCACTGTTTTCCAGCGCCACGGTTGCACCTCCCTGGCAAAAAATTGCCTCCCAGCCTCAGCATTGTGGTTTCCGTGAGCCATGGGATATCCTGGGTATGCTCTCCCTGGTGTTAATTAGCCCAACGAGGGGCTGCTGCTGTGAATGGTCTCCTGGGACCCTGTGCAGGAAGGGATGACACCGACTTGGGTTCAACTGGTGTTTGCTTCTTATTATCAATAAATCCAGATTTTTTTTCATCTCGGTGGAAATCGACGCCCACCTAAAACTCCCTGATGCTAAAGCTTCCACCGGGGAACTAATAGTCACATTTGTAAATCCGCTCTGTTTATAACCTGTGGTTTCCAAATCATCATTTCTGCCTGAAAAAAACAGCCTGTTCTCCCTTAGCTAAAAATATTTTTTCTCCGAAAACACGCATAAAATACCTTCATTCGTTCTGAGGCAGAGCTGGGGGGGGGAACGTCTGTTTCCCCTGGGGCGTGGGGATGCTCATGATGCCCATGCATGAACCAGACCGGTCTGGGGGCTGAAGCTGGAATTGTGACCTGCTCGATGCACTGTGTCCTGGATCAAAAAAGGGGAAAATTGGTCAGAAGGGGCAGCAGGACCTTAATTTGTCATCCCAAGAGGGGAAGAGGTGGGAGGACCATCAGCTAGCAGCAACTGTGGAGCAACAGCTCCGTGCTCCCCGGGTGCCATTAGCGTAATCAATAGAGAAGGGGGACCCTACACCATTGTGCCTTGTCCTACACTGTATTTGGGGAAACTCATGGAAAAGAAGGGTTAAATTCCCTCTGAAAATATCCAGGTGGGTGTGTGCTTCACACACTCCAATGCCTGAGCATCATAGCACCGCGCTGGCTTTTTTTGTAGCAGTGGCAGCAGTAATACAATAACACGTTATGTGAGAGGTGAAGGGGTGGGGGAAACGCTTCCAACGAGAGGGAAAAAAAGCAAAATGGAAATGAAAAGGTCCTTGTGAAGTTGTGCTGCTCGGGAGCCGGGAAAGCAGGCGCTGTAAAACCAGGTTAAATACACCGGGGTCACTAAAAGGAAGAGCTGGCGTCAGGGTTTTTCAGAGGGTTTAATAACAGCTGCTACACCTGGATGCCTTTTGTGAAGCCCTTGGGCACTGTGGTTTTCATTAAGGGATTTTGTGGGGTGGAGCATGGCCAAGGGAAAGCAGGAATAAATGATTGCCAGGAGTGCCTGCCGTGCCTTTAGCAATCCCAGAGATGACCGGACGGGCACCAGCCTGTGCTGGCAGAGGAACACCCAGCTCTCCGAGCCCACGTGGCTGGCCCAAACCCGCAAATCCTCTGCCTGCAAAAGCAAGCGGCTGTCAGGAGCCCATCCCATCCCTCTGACCTCTCGGTGAAATCCTGCGTACGCTCGTGCCCTGGTTTTTCAGCCGTGGCTGGGGTGAAGCAGGAGAGAGCAGTTCCTAGGAGGCTGCTTTGCAACGTGAGCGTGAGGATGAGGAGGGCAGGTTGTTGCTTGTTCGGGTGCTGCTTGGATTTTGGGATGACATTCCTGGGAAGTGCCCAGTGGCCTTTTCTCAATTCCTTCAACCCCCCTCCCGGCAGAGGCAAGGATGCTTTGCCCTCTGGTATTTAGTGTGCCTTGCACAACCCAAATTCTGCGTGGTTTAGGGGGTCTTTTTGATCCAGAGATGGAGAGGGGGAACCTTGAACGGATGCTGACAGAAGCTCTGTGCAGGAATATCCGTATGCTGTATCCCCATGTGGTTTACAGCGGCGTCATACATGTGTGAGAGCACACACGTGTGTACGCATG